CCCCCCCCCCCACTCCTACCTTCCTCTTTAGCTCCCATCTGAACGGGCCGAACATGCTGCAGCAGCAAGCAGGAACTGGTACAAATCTGTGTGGTGTGCGGGAGAATGAAACGTGTTTTTAAAGCAGACACTTTGGGTATTTCAAGCTTTGTGCTGTTCCTTCAGTGATAACTACTGGAGTAACAACTGATATTTTAGAGCTTTTGGAACCTCATGAACAAAATATCTTACCTGTTGCAGATGGATCAGTAGATCTTTGGACGAGTCAGACCAAGACCAAAGAAGATTAATGCCATCATAAAACAACTCRAAATAAATTTGAAAATGATAAAAAAGAACACAAATTATGAACTTTTATGTGGCTGCTAATTTTGCATTGCACGGTTCCTCTGGCAGAAATATGATATCCCTGCAGGAAGTGCTACAGCTAATTTCTCCTGCTGCTGTTTGTGCTTCTAAATAACCAGTGATGTTATGTAAATAGCTTTGTCGTGTACAACTGATGGCAAAATAAATGTTTATACATTCACACAAAACAATTTTTGTCTAGACTGCAGTGGTTTTAAGAGTTGTCCGCTTCAATCTAACCAGCCTTTAGCTCATCAGTTCGTTCAGAAATAAATTCTATTTTGTCAAACGGAGGTCATCCAAGACCAAAATTTTTATTGAAAAGATCTGCACTATACTTTTACACGATTAAACGATTTAATATTTTTCAACCTTGAAGGTTGTTTTTTCCACTCATAAAACAGTTTGTATTGTCAACATATTTATCAAGAAGCAACCTTCAAACTGTTAAACAAAGCCCTTTGTCTAAGCATATCTAAAATAATACAACAAGAAGTACTTTTTGATCTTTGAACATTTACTCTGTGCTATCTAGATAGATTAAAAGTCTCCATTTTACAAAAGAAAAGGAAAGAAAAGAAAAGAAAAAAAATATTTTTATACTAAACCACTAAAATCTAAAAGTTATTTAATTTACTAAAATTAGGCCTCATTTGTCTTTATTGTAACAAACAGAAAGTTCTTTGATTTTAAGAGCAACTTAGTTTTCTCCTGCTGTTTTATTGTGCAATTTGTGTCTCTAATAATGCATTATATTCTTCTTACGTTCCTTCTAAATTATAAGGCAATTTGCAGCAAATTTAAAATAAATAGTCGGAGTGGTGGTTGCTCTTTTTTTTGTGAAATCCAGGCTGTTATAGTCTATTTTTGTTGTTGATTTTTGGTCTTTTGTTAGGTTTATTTCCATTTCCCATATAGAAGAAGCAATTTAATGACTGAGTTTATTTAGGGCTGTTATTTTATAGTTATATTAAATTAAATACATGATATGATCCATTGACAACATATCAGAACAATGATTTTRACTTTGGTCATAAAGAAACCAAAATTTAAAAAAAAAAGAAGTCAAATCTGCTCTGATTTCCCAACGATCAAATGTTAAAAGTTCCCCAGAGACGTGGTCTTGTGTAATCGTGTCCCTTCTGCGAACGTGGCAGCAGTGTTGAGTGTGTAAACAGGTGACATCCACTCACTGCGAAGGCTGGATCAACACTCCTCCTCCTCCCCACTGTTTTCCCTCAGTCCCCTTCCGCTGTTCAACCTTTGACCCCTGCGTACCCCTGCACTCCGCCCCCCCATGGTGTGTTGACTCCGCTGAACTCCTCCGTCCTCGCCTCTTGTCCCCTCTCGCCCCTCCTCAACCTGCTCGTAACGCTAATGCTCTTATTATGCTTCATTTCACTGCGAGTTTCGCAATTCCACCTCTCTGAGGTTGGAGGAGTGAGGACTGTTTGTACTCACACATCCCGCTCTACTGCGCCTCGTGCAGCAAGGAGATAAACTCTTTTATTATGAAAGGCGATGGAGGACGATGATGTTTTTGTCTGTGTGCGTGTTCTGTTAGCAAAATATCTCATGAACCACTCGGTGGATTCTAAAAAAAAAATTCTGAAAAAGTAATCACTGGATGAATCTTCAACCGATTTAGTTTTTGGTATCAACTTGATTAAAGATGGCTGCCACAGCCAACAAAAATGGCCATAACTCTGTCAGTTTTACAGATATCCAGCTGATCATTTGTGTGGTAGTAGCTGAGAGTCATTCACAACTTCTGGTCTGACCGTGACAGCTTAGGATATCTCCTGAGATTGCTCATAATGGTTTTATTCAAAATTTTCCCTAAAATGGACTACTTCTTCTTAAGAGGACCTTTTCTTATGATTTATTTAAAAGTTTTTGAATAGAAAATACAAAAATTCACACACACGCTCAGCCTCTTGCAGAGTTGTAAAGTAACTAAGTACAAATACTTTGTTACTGCACTTAAGTAGAATTTTTGGGTATCTGTACTTTATTTGAGTAATTATTTTTCAGCCTACTTTTTACTTCTACTTCTCACATTTTCCCACAATTATCTGTACTTTCTACTCCTTACATTTACAAAAAAAGGCAAGAAATAGAAATTCTTTATTTTTATTTAATTTTTACTTGTTTTCATTCCAGCTTGTTATTGTAAAACATATCCATATAAATTGTGCCTCTTAGAGTGAATTTAATTGTGGTTTAATGAGAAGTATAAATACATAAAATTCTGATACCGTATTAGTTTGTACACAAACAAATCAAGTCACACTCCAGTAGGACATAATCATTAAAATAAAAGTACTGTATTTAAGAAGTATTTGTATTTCATGAACTATATTATTGCATTTGGCCGCAGCCCTCAGATAGATTTTCATTTTGTGGAAAATATTTGGGCAGCCTTGATATATGTATATAAACTGAAACAGCTAGACTAGTGCATCCTAAATTTAACATAAATTAATTATTTTAATTCGACAGTCATTTCTGCAATATTTTGGGGAGGTCACCTCCTAATAAATGTCATTACAGAAAATCTAACTCCTCATTTTAAATCAATACTTTTACTTTTAATTCTTAAATGCAAAAATATCAGATACTTTAATACTTTACTCAAGTAATATTATGAGGAGACTTTAACTTTTACCAAAGTAATTTTATTTTTAGATACTTTTACTTTTACTCAAGTATCACTTTGCGGTACTTTATACAACACTGGCCTCTTGCTGGCTGCTCTGAAGCACACTCGTCTCTGCATACCTGTGACTACACAAACAAAGGGCTAATTGTCTGGACACAAGACCACAGCAATGTGTGTGAGAGAGGGTGTGTGTGATTTGATTCTGCTTTGAAAATGAAGCAAACATGGATGGTGCGTGTGTGTGTGTGCTGAAGTGAATAGCTCTGATGGACAGAAACTACATATAATCACACACATTTATTGCTTCTCTGTCACTAGAATGGAATTGCTCGGTGTGTTCGAGTCTGACTGTGAACCCATTCACAAAACTGACGAACACGTCTTATGTATGCACAGTCGTACTAATGATTTTCTTTTTTTTTTTTACTTTGCTTGTTCCCGCTTCTCGTCCCACACTTCTTCATTGGTGAGCAATTTTAATGCACAAGCAGAAAAACAGGTGTATAATCCACAGCTTTAGTTTCTCAGGATAACTTTTCTTTTCTTCTTCTCGTCCTTAAAGACCTGTGTCTGTGTTGTTTGCGTGACACAGTTTAGCAGTTTTGCTTTTGTGTGGAGGTTTAGGGGCGTTAGCCAGAGTCGTCTGGTGCTGAATTCGACCAGCTTTTCATTCAGCTCTTATCTGCCTGTTATGCTTTCCCCTTCTCACTTTACCAAATGTGTGCTTGAGAGTGTGTGTGAGTGTGTGTGGGTGTGTGTGTGAGTGTGTGTGTGTGGCTTTTAGATATGCCGGAGGACATTTTGTCTTTCCAGGAAACAAGGGATGGTGAAGATTGCAGCAGGTTGCCAAAGACCAAATGCTCGTACTTTATTACTTGAATTAAAGCTTGTCACCAGCATGACATGATCATTTCATGCCAGAGTTTTAAACTAAGATTATTTTTATAAGAAATGACAAGGTTATAGCTGTTTTAGTTGGATTTAGAAGCTCTTTAAAATAATATTACWCACAATGTCACACACTATATCCTTTAGTGCATGGATGTGTTGTGAATGACTCTCAGCTACTACCACACACACGATCTAAAATCTGTAAAACTGGCTGAAATGTAGCCACTATAGTGTAGTGCCTGTGATGTGAATATCCTTCAAAACAAAAAGTCAAAGAAAACCTATTTATATTTAAGAAAATTGGCATAATACACACGATTTTACACTTTTTGTGTACATAACTGGCATATTTTCTTTTTAATTTGACCAAGATGAAATGTAACAGGAAGTGACATCARGAGAGTTTTATGTAGGAAAAGGGAAGTCCCTGGAGTTTATTTATTGAAAGCATATTATTTGAACTCTGACTCTTCTTCATCTCTCCTTGAAAGTGACTCAAAATGATGTAAAGAACATCAGATTCTTCTCTAGCACTGCTCTGTTCACACGAGGACATTACTCTCATGACATCACTTCCTGTCACTTCACATGCTGATAATTCATCAATTGTTTATCTCAGCAGTGTGAATTGTTTTTTGCAATATGTCATCATAGTTATCTTTCCAAAAATGCTTTCGTATTTATAGCAAAAATTTGATGTCACAGGTACTTGGTCAGTAGGCTGTGGCAGCCATCTTGAATTATGAGCCAAAATTTAGCCACTTGTCTGCCTGTTATGCAGGCATAATAGTGGTTCATGCAATAT